GAAAGCAGGCTTGAGGAATTACAAAAATCTGTCTGCTTTCCACAAAGTTTTAACAGATACCAGGATTTTCTATTATAAACCATCTACAGTACTTCTGATAAATGAACCACTGCAGAAGATACAGAAATCTCACCTTTCACTGACTATGGCATTCAAAGACTAAGATCATTTTTAATCCATTTGATAAAGAGACTCTCCCCCATTCAGTATAGCCACTAAAGTATAAGGAGCAGAATATCACATCTCACTAGAGCTGCAGGTGAAGTTAAAAATTCTGCTGTATGACAAAACAAGGCTATTAAAATCGTATTTAAGATGGAGGGCAAATAAGGCAAGGAAACAGCATTTCTCTGAAGGATTTATCAATTTCAGGTCTCCCATAAGTATGTTATATATTGACCCAGCCTCAAAAAAACAGCTAATTATGTAAATTTTGCAAATGTTTCTCTTCCTAGATCTTGTACTTAGGCTGAAGTACGTAGCAAAGTCTGTTATATTAATTTAGATGGAATAAATAGGCCAAAAAAAAAAAACCAAACAAAACTCAGCCACTGTCCAACATTAAACAGTGTTCAACAAATTCTGGGGTTCAGTATACAATGACTTCAGCCTGCTTAGTAATGCGGCTGAAACAGCATTAAAAGTCTTTAACTTTTATTAAAAGATACAGAAAGAGGAAAACAGTTAAAAGTATCTGAAGTATTAAGTACAGCTTTCATTTTAACAGCATTTTTTGTTCCCATTAGCTGGAGAGAGTTGTAGAAGAGAAAGCTCCCTTGTTTGACAGTCTCCTAAGTGCGGTTAAAGATGGTGGTAACTGTTCTTCTGGGGAAGAGAGAAGAAGTTAGTTGAGATATGCTGGAGCCATTGTTAAAGGCTAATCCGTTTAATCTCTGGTGGTGTTTGGGATTCAGCTGAAACGATTAAGGGTGGTGATATCATCCAGAACCCTCTTTTGGGCCTAGTCTGGTCAAGACGTCCCTCAGGATTAGGGCAAAGGTGGTCTAGGATCCAGGAGACTGTCGGTGTGGCAACTATGATGGTGAAGCGTGCTCCAGTAGCCTATTTATTTTTAAGACTTGGGGGGGATTTTTTCTTTCATGACCCAAGAAGGGAGTGATGGGTGGAGAAGCCCATCCCCTCATTTTTTCCCCACCAATTAGGCTTAATATTTGACACCAATTTTGGTTCGTTAGTTTCTGGATCCACATTTTCTTGTTTATCAAGCATGATGTTAACATGGTCTTTGGAGCTATATTAGTAGGCTTTTTTGTTTGGACTAATTTAGTCTGTCACCTTTTCATACCCTTCCCCTCAACATTGTAAGTTAATGTACTTTGTCTTCTGTAAAGAGACTATAAGAGGATAAGAACATTTTATATATCAAACCATCACTTTCCCTTCCACAGATGATTTATCCCCAGGAAATAAATCGTGAGTATCTGGGATGGTGGGATACAGCTAGGGGACAGATGGTCTAGGCAGTATGTTTTTCTTCTTCTACAAAGAAATTCCATATGAAAAGAAGGATAATTGAATGCAGCTTATGCTCTAGAGATCTTAGAGGATTGGATTTCCACAACTTCACAAGGGCTTAGAACCTGACCTCCGTTCATTGTGGTCTCACCACCAAGCCACTCTGCTTGCCCACTGGTCCCGCTACAATGTGACTGAGTGTCATGTGGCTACACTCCAAATGTGATATAGCATATGGATTATTTTGTTCCTCTCGCTGGGTTTTGATAGAAGAGGGAACCATATGGCCAGTGATGAAATTAGCCATGAAAAGTCAACCTGGTTTCTCAGTGTATCTTCAAGATATATATATATATATATATATATATTTATTTTTTAAAATGGACACAAGAACATCTCTGAACAATGAAAGCCAGACCAGAGAAGCATTCTGGAATATGGACACTTCAAAGAGTACACCAACCACTCAACTATTGGAACAATTTACCAAGGGTCATGATGGATTTTAAAAACTGCCAATGATGGAAAATCAAGATTTTTTTCTTATTATTAAAGGAGATGCTCTAGGAAATACTATGGCCGGTATTATACAGGAGGTCAAACCAGAGGACTGCTGTGGTCCCTTCTGGCTTTGGAATCTATGAACATGAACAGGAAAAACTTCCTGTTTCATTAATGGCAGGTGGGACAGATACACATCACAAACTTATTACCGCTGAAAGAGGCATGAAGATTGCCTTTAAAAGAACTGAAATACTGGATCTGAAAATGGTCCTCCCCCACCTTCACAATGGGCAGAAGTTTGGTATCTGATCCACTCTAGTTCATCAATATATTTATGTATTAGTCAAATAATGGCTCACTGCAGAAAGTTTCAAATTTCTATACTGTTTTGTAACAAAAACAAAACCACACAATCCAAAGAAAAAAAACCCCAGAATGTTCCTGTAGCCTTCTATCAAGTTGTAAGTAAGATGTTCTGCTTTTACTAAGTCATCAACTGTAGTGACCAACATAGTAATTATTAATAGCAGTAATTCTGAATATTTACTATTCAGTTATTCTAGATAGTTGATACATAAAACTATCACTGTAAGATACCTTTGTAAATACAGATTGTTCAAAAAACAATTTCGCCTTATGATTTACAGTGAGATTAAATCTAAATGTATCTTTAGAGGGCTTGCTTTTGTCAAGATAGTAGAATTATATTCCAGAAGGAGGTCAATACTGTATAATTGAGATTTATAGGACAATGTTCGTACTTAACTGAACACTGAGAACACTTTCCTGTTAATACTCACTTTAAAAGTAGCCCAAACATGGAAAAGCATAAAGGTCTTGAGTATGGGGGGAAAAAAAAATAATCATATAGGATAGTATTAAAGAAAAGAGAAAAAACAAGTAGCGTTTCAGACCTTCTCCCCTAGCAGCCGTATAGCAAGGAAACGCTAGATGGAATTTGAGAGTCAGATGAAAAATATAGCATCTGGCCTTTATTAAAAGCACACACTAATTTACTAGTCTACTACTTTGCCAGTAAAGATTTCCCAAATTAAATCTTGACTGTGTAGAAAGCAGCCACCTGGAGGGTGAGAGCTGTTGGTAGACGGCTGTGTTGTCTCAAAAATGGTATTTTGAAAGCACAGAGCAGAATCTCTCATAGTGAGTCTGTGCCACATATGTCAGGAAGTACATTACAGCTCGACTCTACCTGCTACATATGACTTAGACTGACATTTCCAGTGCCCCAGCTAGCTTTCTGCAGACTAGGCACCTGGGGCTGTGGTGAACAGGTCAGGCTTAAAGCATTCTGTGTCACTCTGTCTGGCCTTGGTTGTTTGTGCAGCTGTGGGAGGCTTTTTGTTGCTCCTTCCACATTACTCATCTGCCAGTACAGCAAAGCACAGGGCTGTTACCAAAACGTTCACCTCTGGCTTACATATAAAGTAACAGTTTCCTATTTCTTGAAAATATCCATAGATGAACACTCACAGCCAATATTTTTAAACATAAAATGCATCTCAAATCCAGAACTAGATTATGCTAATAAAGCTAAGTGATTTGAAAAAAATAATAAAAAAAACTGTTCCCATCTAGGCTTGGAAGCCTACGTAAAATCTGCAAAACCCAACAATATTTCAGTTTCTGGTGAACATGCAGCATAGCTACTTTGAACAGATTGCAGATGTTCTTGGTGTAGTGTTTCCATAGGTGCAGACAGTTATTCGTGAAGCAGTTAATGTTGGCATGATTTAAAAAAGGGGGTATTATAAACCAGAGATAGAAGTGTCCTTGTGGGTTCACTTTAACATTCTAAAAGCTACTGCGTGACAGGAATTTTAGGACTCCGTAAATATATATTTATTTTCTCTTCTTTTGTAGAAAAATAGAATAAACTGGAAATCAAACTGAAAAATAATCCCTGAAGATTAAAGAGAGAAAAAAAGCATCTGAATGGTGTTTTTCAGACTACAGTGGGATATATTCTGCTCTGGCTTTTCCAAAGAAACTAAGAGCAACTCTGTTGACAATGAGGGATTTACTTTGTATTTACACTGGTGTAAAAGGAGAGTAGAAATTAGTCTTCTATAATCAGACATGAATGTGACTCAGTGAGTTTGTGCTCTTAGCTCACAGATGCCTAATAAGCTATGAAAGCCATAATGGGTGACATCAAGATAACTTTCACAAAGCTCACATTAACAATACAAAAAAGGGGAGCATGACAGGAGCACTCACCACTATGGGTGCCTCTTCCTTACCACTCTAGGCCTTAGTTCCTTCAAGGGGCTGCACCCTCCTCTGGCATTCTCTTCATCTTCTCTCACCCTGCAGCCCTTTTTGCTCCCGCTTCCTCTGTACGACTTGGCCCTCCAGCCTGGTCACTAGGATACCCTGGAAGGGGAGAACCAAAGTCTTTCAGGGCAAACTGTCCCAGGCAGTCTACTCCCCACTGTCTGGAGTATGCCACTTCCCCAGTGGCTGGCTGGGGGAAAACCAGGCCCACCCTCTACTCCAGGTTCCAGCTCAGGGACCCTCTGATCAGGGTCTGCACTATCCAATAACTGGCTACTTTTCCCCTGAGCCTTTCCTACTTTTCTGGCTCCCCCTCTCTAGGTTTGCCAGCCTAAACTCCCTCCTCGCAGGGAGGGACTGTAGACTACACACCAGAGTCCCAAACATACGCACCTTTGCCCAGGGAGCAACTGCAGACTACTTCACTGAACCCCTTTCTGCTCTCACATCCTGGGCTTTATACAGGCCCTTTGCATTCCCACCCAGCTGAGCCTTGTTTAATTAATCCCTGCTCCCTGGATCCTGCTCCAGGTGCAGCCCAGGGAGTTAATTGGCCCAACTAACCACCTTAACCCTTTCAGGCTTTGTTTGGGATGGACACTCCATCACAGGGAGATCAGCATAAACACCAGAGAATGTTTTCCTTTACTGGATATGTTTTAGAGGAAAAAGACATTTCCTTCCACCACAAGGGAAATTGCTTTGTCTCTAAAATGACAGATTGTCTCCCATGGAATGGTGATTTTACTCAAGTCACAGGGAAGTGACAGCAGAAAGAAAAGAGAAAAACAAGAAAACGAACACTGCTGGGTAAGTAACTTTTGGAAAACAGGACATTTTATGGATTCATAGGTTTTTAGGAACAGAAGGGATCACTGTGATCATGTAGTCTAACCTGCTCCATAACCCAGGTCTCAGGGTTCCCTCCTCACTCTGAACTCTGGGGTACAGATGTGGGGACCCACATGAAAGACCCCCTAAGCTTATTTCTACCAGCTTAGGTTAAAAACTTTCCCAAGGCACAAATCTTTTCCTTGTCCTTGGACGGTATGCCACCAAGTGATTTAAACAAAGATTTGGGAAAAAGACCACTTCGTGTCCCTATTTCCCCAAAATATTTCCCTTCACCCCCTTTCCTGGGGCGGCTTGAGAATAATATACCAACCAATTGCTTTTAATATAAGTACAGACCAGACCCTTTATTTTTAGGTCACTAAAATTAATCAGGTTCTTAAAAGGAGAACTTTATAATAAAGAAAAACGTAAAAGAATCACACCTGCAAAATCAGGATGAAAGGTAACTTTACAGGGCAATAAAAGGTTTAAAACAGAGGACTCCCCTCTGGACTCAACTTTACAGTTACAAAAAACAGGAATAAAACTACCTCTTACATAGGGAAAATTCACAAACTAAACAAAAGATAATTAATGCATTTTCTTACCTGAAATAATATATTTAAAATTACAGAAAATGTAAGTAATTGAAAATGTAAGTGTTGGAGAATCTTTTATATACACTAACATAAAGGCCTGCCTGAGTTATGAGATGGGGCTCCCTACCTCACTGGCAGCTACACAGGCATAGCTGCTGCACCTGCTGGCTTCAAGTAGTAACAACTACCCACGTACATCATTTCTGCCTTCAGCAGATTAAGACTGTTTCTGCCATTAAGACTGTTCCAGCACCACTGTACACAGTAGTTACAGCAGCCCAGACTTGCCTCTGGCCACAGGGGATGGAGTCAGCCTGCCTCTCAGGCACCTGGAGGTGGGAGGCTCCAAGAATATGGGTGAGGGAAAGGAGGAAGAAGGTGCTGCCTTTCAGCCAGGAACCCTTAAGTGGGTTCTGCCCCCAACAATCACATTTCCTGTCTGACTAGAGTGGAGTGTCAGCTAAGGAGGAGAACTGAAGCCTTTTGAAACACCATGTGGAGAAGTGGAAATATTTTTTTATAAATGTATCCCTCAGTGTACATGTGTGATGTTACCCTGCCTGAGCACAGAGTTAGATCAAAAAGCATTATTAAAGAAGCCAGGGAGGGAAAGAAGAACAAATATTGAAAGTTAGCAGCCTAAATACTTTTGTGGATCTGGGCCAAAGCCCATCTGCTATTCCCTTTTTCAGTAGCCTTAAGTGTTCTCTGGATTGTTCAGACTGGCATGAAGCCAAAATACACATCTCTTTAGGGCTTACAGGGAAACAGTATGCAGGACTTGACTCTTCAGAAATGTTAGTGAGTTTCAGAGTTATATACTAGGCCATGTTCTGCTCCTACTTACTGTAGAAGTGAAAAAAATACAATCTTTTAGGGCTAGATTCTGAGATGCTTACTCCCATCAATGAGTACAATACTCCAGAAGAAGCTGCATTGAAATCAATGGTACTACATGCAGATTAAGGTGCCTTTCAACAGGATTGTTTCCCTCTTTTCAGTGCAAGATCTAGTCTTTACATTTTAAGCTTTTCTGCCTGCATCCAAAGGGACTTAGGAACACAATGCAATCTACAAAGCTTGAGTTAGTCACCTTGGCTCCCTGTATAATGAATGGGGAAGAGATTGGTGGATTGTATTCTAAGGCACTGAAACCTGCATGCTATGTGAGGAGTTGCCTAAACTAGCCAACAGGAGATGCTGGCAAGAGAAATATGTCCTAAGATCTGCCCCTCTCACAGAGGTCAGTGCATATGTCTAGGCTCTAGGGAGGCACATATTTCTGATTTGTCTCTACAGCTGGAAATCACTCTCCTGGAATCAGTCAGGCAGCTAAGTCATTATTTGTGAGAATGAGCTAGGCTCATGTCTCATTTCACAGTGTCATGGTTGCAGTGCCAGCATTAGAAAACTTTTATCCCAGTGATCACCTGGGATGTCGAAGATGCAGTTTTAATTCCCCAGCATGCAGAGGGGAAGAGAGGACTTAAATAGGGATTTCTCTCAAGAGAGTGCTCTACTACTGAGCTATGGGATATTCTGATGTGGAACTGCCTCAGTCCCTCCTCTTGAAGCTGTTCCACAGTGTATAAATATTAGAGAGCATGATTGGAGTAGGAAGACTGGACCCTGGGTGCCCACCTCCCAGCTGGATGCCATAACCACTGGACTAGAGAGTCACATTCTCCCACTCTGGGGCCCAGTAACCCTTTAAAATTTATCCAATGTGGAACAACTTCAGTAGGTGGAGCTCTCTCAATCAGACATCAGAATATCTCATAGCTTAGTGGTTAGAGCACTTCTAAGAGGTGGGAGACCCCTATTCAAGTCCTCTCTCCCCCTCTACCTCAGGAGGGGAATTAAACTTTGGTCTCTCACATCCCAGGTGAGTGCTCTAAACACCAGTCCAAGAGTTATAAGGGCCCCCCACACACACACTTTTGAGTGGGGTCTGATCTAACAGACATGCTCAGAGACTGCCTTCCAGATCAGGCCCCATACATGCTATAGGCAGGCAAAAAAATAAATAAATCCATCTTGCCTGGCTTTGTGGATTCCTCTCAACTTTAGGTGGGAGATGAGTAGCTGGACACCTGGAATAAGGCAATAGTGCACATGCCCAGAGGCAAAAGCATAGGCCTCTTATGGAGCTTTTATTGCAAAAAAAAAAAAAAAAACCATATGTGCCAAGTGAATTTAGGCACCTGCAGGGTTAGGTGGCACCTGAGCAGGAGTTTTGTGATTGCTGTGGTGCCTAAAAATGGAACTTAGGTGTCTGACCCCCATAATTAAATGCCTAAAAAACCTCTATGGATCTGGGCTTTGAGACAGGAACATTTTATTTCTTTGTCACCTGTGAAGTTCCTCATACAGTTTTTGGTACCATAAAAAAAAAATAAGTCCCTTAGAACAAAAGTGTTGTCTTTATGGCACAACAAGAAGTAACAAGGTGCTAAATAAGGCATATTTGTGTAAATTCTTTGGCTTCACTAGGATTGTGCTGGAGCACAAAATAGAGAGCAGATTGTCAGGGTTTTTTCTAACTATTAAAGGATTTAAAAGTTCCTTATGTTCTTAAAGTAGAACTACCAAAGCTAGATCACACATAAAAAAAACAAGGACATAACACAGACAGTGGTTACCATTAAAGTCTTGTCATTCCTGCCCAGTTGCCGCATTAAGTGTTCTTTAATACAGATAATATAGTTAACCTGTTTGCTGCACTATCATATAAAAATAATGACAGTACTTGACATACCAGTTAACACCACAGGAAAGCAGAGCAAAATTCAAATCATGCATTCACTTAATTAAATTTTCTGGTAATCTATCTAGCAGAGTGACTGAACGACCCACAGATCATACAACCTGTCCTGGTTTGCATGCAAACATGCTACAAATCCATACAGTACAGGGGATCAGATCCTTCCAGGCAGACCCTTAAATGAAAGGAGAAATTTGTGCATGTTGCAGGTGACCAACAGCTCTGTAACACTGTACACCCTCCTTCTCTGGGACCCCATACTTTATGAAATGGTACTGCTATGAGAAAGAGCAATGAACCAATGCTATTTCAAGTGGAGCATTTAACTACAGCAGGTGATTAAAGTCAAGCCTGACCTCACTTGCACTGGTGCAAATCCCTTGGGTTTCAGTGGAAGGTGTAATGCAGAAGGCCTTTTCCCCAGCTTAACAAGTATTCACTGCTATAGTTGGTCTCCTTTAAGTAGGTTTACTTGTCCCCATACATGAGCACATAACAAACAAAATACGGTTCCTCAGCTCACCATTTGTCCTAAGATTCCACAGCCTCCCCTTGCAGTGGTCCCAGGTAATCCTGCTTCTTGCAGCTTCCCAGTCCTAGCCAGCTCTACTCCCCTTTTGGGACACCAACCTCAGGTTTACCTCACTGAATAGCTGCTCCCTTGTTCTAGGGACCCACTATTAGCTATGTGATTCCACAGCCAGTCCCAATTATGCCTCTTCTTCCTTTTCTTTGACCTTCAAAGCCTTCATAGCCCCAGGTGTTGCCCTGCCCCTTTTAATTAGGTCCTGGTCTACACTAGGCCCTGGTCTACACTAGGACTTTAGGTCGAATTTAGCAGCATTAAATCGATGTAAACCTGCACCGGTCCACACAATGAAGCCCTTTATTTCGACTTAAAGGGCTCTTAAAATCGATTTCCTTACTCCACCCCGACAAGTGGATTAGCGCTTAAATTGACGTTGCCGGCTCGAATTTGGGGTCCTGTGGACACAATTCAATGGTATTGGCCTCCGGGAGCTATCCCAGAGTGCTCCATTATGACCGCTCTGGACAGCACTCTCAACTCAGATGCACTGGCCAGGTAGACAGGAAAAGAACCGCGAACTTTTGAATCTCATTTCCTGTTTGGCCAGCGTGGCAAGCTGCAGGTGACCATGCAGAGCTCATCAGCACAGGTGACCATGATGGAGTCCCAGAATCGCAAAAGAGCTCCAGCATGGACCGAACGGGAGGTAAGGAATCTGATCGCTGTTTGGGGAGAGGAATCCGTGCTATCAGAACTCCGTTCCAGTTTTCAAAATGCCAAAACCTTTGTCAAAATCTCCCAGGGCATGAAGGACAGAGGCCATAACAGGGACCCGAAGCAGTGCCGCGTGAAACTGAAGGAGCTGAGGCAAGCCTACCAGAAAACCAGAGAGGCGAACAGCCGCTCTGGGTCAGAGCCCCAAACATGCCGCTTCTATGATGAGCTGCATGCCATTTTAGGGGGTTCAGCCACCACTACCCCAGCCGTGTTGTTTGACTCCTTCAATGGAGATGGAGGCAACACAGAAGCAGGTTTTGGGGATGAAGAAGATGATGAGGAGGAGGAGGTTGTAGATAGCTCACAGCAAGCAAGCGGAGAAACCGGTTTTCCCGACAGCCAGGAACTGTTTCTCACCCTGGACCTGGAGCCAGTACCCCCTGAACCCACCCAAGGCTGCCTCCTGGACCCAGCAGGCGGAGAAGGGACCTCTGGTGAGTGTACCTTTTAAAATACTATACATGGTTTAAAAGCAAGCATGTGAAAGGATTACTTTGCCCTGGCATTTGCGGTTCTCCTAGATGTAGTCCTAAAGCCTTTGCAAAAGGTTTCTGGGGAGGGCAGCCTTATTGCGTCCTTCATGGTAGGACATTTTACCACTCCAGGCCAGTAACACGTACTCGGGAATCATTGTAGAACAAAGCATTGCAGTGTATGTTTGCTGGCATTCAAACAACATCCGTTCTTTATCTCTCTGTGTTATCCTCAGGAGAGTGAGATATAATTCATGGTCACCTGGTTGAAATAGAGTGCTTTTCTTCAGGGGACACTCAGAGGAGCCCATTCCTGCTGGGCTGTTTGCCTGTGGCTAAACAGAAATGTTCCCCGCTGTTAGCCACAGGGAGGGGGGAAGGTTGAGGGGGTAGTCACGCGGTGGGAGGAGGCAAAATGCGACCTTGTAACGAAAGCACATGTGCTATGTATATAATGTTAACAGCAAGGTTTACCCTGAAAGAGTGTAGCCACTGTTTTATAAAATGTGTCTTTTTAAATACCGCTGTCCCTTTTTTTTTCTCCACCAGCTGCATGTGTTTCAATGATCACAGGATCTTCTCCTTCCCAGAGGCTAGTGAAGCTTAGAAAGAAAAAAAAATGCACTCGCGATGAAATGTTCTCCGAGCTCATGTTGTCCTCCCACACTGACAGAGCACAGACGAATGCGTGGAGGCAAATAATGTCAGAGTGCAGGAAAGCACAAAATGACCGGGAGGAGAGGTGGCGGGCTGAAGAGAGTAAGTGGCGGGCTGAAGACAGGGCTGAAGCTCAAATGTGGCGGCAGTGTGCTGAGAGGAGGCAGGATTCAATGCTGAGGCTGCTGCAGGACCAAACCAGTATGCTCCAGTGTATGGTTGAGCTGCAGCAAAGGCAGCTGGAGCACAGACTGCCACTGCAGCCCCTCTGTAACCAACCGCCCTCCTCCCCAAGTTCCATAGCCTCCACACCCAGACGCCCAAGAACGCGGTGGGGGGGCCTCCGGCCAACCAGCCACTCCACCACAGAGGATTGCCCAAAAAAAAGAAGGCTGGCATTCAATAAATTTTAAAGTTGTAAACTTTTAAAGTGCTGTGCTTAAAGTGCTGTGTGGCATTTTCCTTCCCTCCTCCACCACCCCTCCTGGGCTACCTTGGTAGTCATCCCCCTATTTGTGTGATGAATGAATAAAGAATGCATGAATGTGAAGCAACAATGACTTTATTGCCTCTGCAAGCGGTGATTGAAGGGAGGAGGGGCGGGTGGTTAGCTTACAGGGAAGTAGAGTGAACCAAGGGGCGGGGGGTTTCATCAAGGAGAAACAAACAGAACTTTCACACCGTAGCCTGGCCAGTCATGAAACTGGTTTTCAAAGCTTCTCTGATGCGTACCGCGCCCTCCTGTGCTCTTCTAACCGCCCTGGTGTCTGGCTGCGTGTAACCAGCAGCCAGGCAATTTGCCTCAACCTCCCACCCCGCCATAAACGTCTCCCCCTTACTCTCACAGATATTGTGGAGCACACAGCAAGCAGTAATAACAGTGGGAATATTGGTTTCATTGAGGTCTAAGCGAGTCAGTAAACTGCACCAGCGCGCCTTTAAACGTCCAAATGCACATTCTACCACCATTCTGCACTTGCTCAGCCTGTAGTTGAACAGCTCCTGACTACTGTCCAGGCTGCCTGTGTACGGCTTCATGAGCCATGGCATTAAGGGGTAGGCTGGGTCCCCAAGGATACATATAGGCATTTCAACATCCCCAACAGTTATTTTCTGGTCTGGGAATAAAGTCCCTTCCTGCAGCTTTTGAAACAGACAAGAGTTCCTGAAGATGCGAGCATCATGTACCTTTCCCGGCCATCCCACGTTGATGTTGGTGAAATGTCCCTTGTGATCCACCAGAGCTTGCAGCACTATCGAAAAGTACCCCTTGCGGTTTATGTACTCGGCGGCTTGGTGCTCCGGTGCCAAGATAGGGATATGGGTTCCGTCTATAGCCCCACCACAGTTAGGGAATCCCATTGCAGCAAAGCCATCCACTATGACCTGCACATTTCCCAGGGTCACTACCCTTGATATCAGCAGATCTTTGATTGCGTGGGCTACTTGCATCACAGCAGCCCCCACAGTAGATTTGCCCACTCCAAATTGATTCCCAACTGACCGGTAGCTGTCTGGCGTTGCAAGCTTCCACAGAGCTATCGCCACTCGCTTCTCAACTGTGAGGGCTGCTCTCATCTTGGTATTCATGCGCCTCAGGGCAGGGGAAAGCAAGTCACAAACTTCCATGAAAGTGCCCTTACGCATGCGAAAGTTTCACAGCCACTGGGAATCGTCCCAGACCTGCAACACTATGCGGTCCCACCAGTCTGTGCTTGTTTCCCGAGCCCAGAATCGGCGTTCCACAGCATGAACCTGCCCCATTAGCACCATGATGCATGCATTGGCAGAACCCATGCTTTCAGAGAAATCTATGTCCATGTCCTGATCACTCACGTGACTGCGCTGATGTCGCCTCCTTGCCCGGTATCGCTTTGCCAGGTTCCGGTGCTGCATATACTGCTGGATAATGCGTGTCGTGTTTAATGTGCTCCTAATTGCCAAAGTGAGCTGAGCGGCCTCCATGCTTGCCTTGGTATGGCGTCCGCACAGAAAAAAGGCGCGGAACGATTGTCTGCCGTTGCTCTGACGGAGGGAGGGGCGACTGACGACACGGCTTACAGGGTTGGCTTCAGGGAGCTAAAATCAACAAAGGGGGTGGCTTTACATCAAGGAGTATTTCAGGCAGGACTTCACAGAGGGTTCCAATAAGAAATGGTGCACCTAAGTTATCGTTCTTATTGGAACAAGGAGGTTAGCCTGGCCTCTGATTGATACATGGCTAGATTTACCTCGCTGCACCTTCTCTGTGAGTGACTGTAGTGTGACCTAGAGGAATGAGAGAGGAGGCAAATGAGTACAAAACAAATCTGGTCTACTTCTTGTTTTGATCCACTCCATCTATCTTTTACATCTTTGGCTGGCAGCAGATGGTGCAGAAGGACTGCATGCCATCCACATCTCACGGCTGCTCGGCAGAAGATGGTACAGTACGACTGCTAGCCATCCTCATCTCTTGCCTGCCCGGCAGAAGATGGTACAGTACGACTGCTAGCAATCCGTATCGCCTGCCTGTTCACCATAAGACGGTTCAATAGGACTGACTGCAGGACTAAAGAGAATGACCTGGTCAAGTCATTCCAAATTTAGTCCCTGTACCCATGTCTGCCCAGTCGCTCCCAGCCGACGTGGCCAGGAGCACCTCGGACACGACGAGGACGGCTACCAGTCGTACTGCACCGTCTGCTGCCAGAAGGCAATGGGTTGCTGCTACTCTGTAGCAATGCCATACCGCGTCTGCCAGCACCCAGGACACATACGGTGATGGTTACCTGAGCGGGCTCCATGCTTGCCGTGGTATGGCATCTGCACAGGTAACTCAGGAAAAAAGGCACAAAACGATTGTCTGCCCTTGCTTTCATGGAGGGAGGGAGGGAAGGGGGGCCTGACGATATGTATCCAGAACCACCCGCAACAATGTTTTAGCCCCATCAGGCATTGGGATCTCAATTCAGAATTCCAATGGGTAGCGGAGACTGCGGGAACTGTGGGATAGCTACCCACAGTGCAACACTCCGGAAGTCGACTCTAGCCTCGGTACTGTGGAAGCACTCCGCCGAGTTAATGCACTTAGAGCATTTTCTGTGGGGACACACACACTCGAATATATAAAACCGATTTCTAAAAAAACCGACTTCTATAAATTCGACCTTATTCCGTAGTGTAGACATAGCTCAATTGGGCCCTTCTGTTCTGACACAGGGGAGCTTGGCCTGGTCTGCTCACCGGAACTAGCTACCTTGTGACAGACCCATATAATTGAGAGCAGAATTGACCCCAATGTGAATAATACACATACTGTAAATAACTTCACAGGGTCTCAGTCTCTAGCTCTCTATATCAGGGATTCTCAAACAAGGTTATTACATTGGGGGTTGCAAGCTGTCAGCCTCCACCCCAAAACCTGCTTTTCATCCATCATTTATAATGGTGTTAAATATATTACAAAGTGTTTTTAATTTATAATGGGGATCGCACTCAGAGGTTTGCTGCGTGAAAGGGGTCACCAGTACAAAAGTTTGAGAACCACTGCTCTATATGTACTGCCAGAGCACCTTCCTCTTCTATGCCTGACACTCGTAAGATGGTCATGGTAGCTTTTCAAGAACAGCAGTAGGAAACTGACTCTCTGAGCAAACATTGATCTCTGATCATTGGACCTAGTCTCCCTTTTGAGACAATGATGCAGAAATAAATGGCTGTGCTTCTCAGGAAGTTATGTAAGCTTGCTTTCTCCCACAATTACCTTAGGCTTCACAAATTCTCTTCCAAATTTCTGAAAAGTCACTGCTTCAGGGAGCTGGGCTGGGAATTGTGGTATGGTACCCAAGGGGCATTGCAACTGCACTGCTTGAGCTGTATGTTTGTGTGGAGTTAGGGCAGAATTGCACACAAAACAGGATGACTAGTTTGAATGCATTGTACTGTTATTTGCATTGGTTCAATCATCCCAACTCAATGAGCAATAAGTCTGTTCTCTACTGTAGACACTCCTAGAAAAGACTGTAGACAAATACTAACCTGGTATTAAAGAGTGGTTAAACATGTTTAAAAGGGAAGTGTTTAGGGCACAGAATATGCCATTTGGCCCACAGGTGCACGCAAAAGGTTAAACTAAAGAGATGATGAAAAAGGACATGTTGGAAACAAAATACTTTGGACAGTTTATTCCTTTCCTGTTCCCATTCCTTCTGTTTATTCCTTGCCAGAGGTGACACAGTGATTAGCTAGTGTTAATCATTGCTGACACTGTCCAGGCTATCCTATAAGGAAACGCTTTTCTTAGAGAGTAGTGAGAAGACAGAAATAAGAAGGGAGAGCTGAATAATAATAATTACAAAAAGAATTAAAGTGAATATCACTGATATTACTAATATCTGTTCTAGACTGATAGAATTTTATTTACTATAAATAATATAATTTGAAGGTTATATAGGAACAGAACAAATAAT